TTGCTTTTCTTATCTTACATTTTTATGTCAAATTGTTAAGTGCACAAAAGTCAGGTTAAATTGAAAATGATAAAATATACCGGGTGTCCCAAAAAAGACATGGTATAATATAATGTGACGCCGTTTATATTGTTTTCTACTAAGTTCAGTAAAAAAGTTCAATTGTGATAATCTAATTGTTTTCGTACCTTTCAAAGTTTCAAATTGACGGAGATACAAATCTTAAAAAGCTAAAAAAGAGTTTTTTAATACACACTTTTGTCTGTTAAATCAAAGTTGATCTACATATTGTCTTTTGATTTTCATGTTTATTGGGACATCCTCCATTATAAAATCTCCGCAGGTAAATTGAAAACTGATCCAATTGTTGTTAAGGTTCATGAAAGTACTCACAAATAGAAAAGAATTGGCGGGTTTATTTCACATTAAATGGGTTCAGAGCTGGAAACTTTAGAATGGAATACCTTTTATCCCTACTGCTTAATCCGAATATCCAATGTGGACACTATTAAATTCTTGCTTAATCCACTCATTTTTGAATATAGTACAGAAAAATCCAAAACGGGTCTTTCAAAATTAGAATGACCCTCCCATTTCTGTATGTTAATCTCAAATGGCGCCCAATATTTCAAATTTCCCGGCTTCTGATACGCGACTCTGATTGGTTGAAATTTATACACCTTTCAGGATACAATTACAAGATTAGGTTAGTCTCGAGATTAAGGAAAAGAGAGGATTAAGCATTGATCTCGATATCCACAATTATAAAGTTCCCAGCTCAGTACAGATAATACTGTTTAGACAGCCGAGAAATTATGTGTAACTAGTTACGGGCAACCTTGCATCTACCAGTAAGCCAGTAAGGTGAAGTTCTTTGCACAGTACGATGAAGTTCTTTGTACAGTACGGCGAAATTCTTTGTACAGTGAGGCGTATTTCTTTGTATATCACGGCGAGATTCTAGGTATGCAGTGCTGTGGAACTCTGAGCCCGAAATTTAAAAGAGTATCGTTGAACGAAACTCCCGAGTTTCCTTTTTGGGGTCTTAACATTTTGTAGATTTGATTTAAGAGATTTGACAAAAATGGAAAATGTGAAGAAACTTAATAAAAAAAATATTTCATAACAAAAATATTGATATCCACAAAACTGCCTAACCCCATTCTTGAAACCCGGGTTTCAAAACTGATTTTCATAACGATACCCTGTTTTAAGTTTTGGGCTCTGTATACAATACTGCAAGATTCTGTGTATAATTTACGATAGAAATTTGTGTTCATTGACCAAATTTAATTAAATAAATCGCCGGTTCAAATCCTGAATCACCTATTCAAATCTGCATGATTCTTTAGCTTTGAATGGATAATTCAGGATTTTAGCTACCGTTAGTTTTTCTTTTCATTTGTGGGTAACCTGTACTGTACTGTGCTATTGAAAACTCAAAAAAAAAAATTAGATTTAATGAACTTTGAACTATTATCTTTTATTCATTTTAAAAGGTCAAATTTTATCTTTTTATGTTGACGTATATCCAATAGCAGCATTAATTTTGGATTTAAAAATAAAATTAAATGAAAAAGTTGAAGATTTGTTATATTCTATTGCTAACAATCAGGCGCGCAACTAGGGGGGGGGGCCAGGGGGGCCAGGCCCCCCCCTAGCCTGATTAAGGGGGGGGCATGCCCCTCCCTTAAGAAGTCTTGCCCCCCCCTGTAGGGGGGGGCAAGAAGTGACGAAGTCCACCCTGTTTTGCAATTTAGCGATTCATGAATCCTGACCCTGAGGAAATTTAAGAGCTCTTATCGTAAAATAAAAAAAAAGATAATTGAACGCTAGTTTATTGAGCTTATAGTTCAATCGATACAGCACAGCACTAAAAATGTTAAGGGGGGGGCCAAAAAAATTTTTCGCGCTTCGCGCGAAATATTTCCACCTAGCCCCCCCCTAACCAAATGTCTAGTTGCGCGCCTGCTAACAATTGTGAACTATTTCAAATAAATCAAAAAGATACTTTTGTTTTGGAGAAGTCATTTTCATCAAAACATAAAATTATTTATATCTCAGAAATTGCGTAGAAACCACTTTCTTGCCAAGTGCAGATTTTCTACCAATAAATAAAGAATGACAACCTCAAATAACAAAATAATAAAGATGCACTTCTATTCAACGTCAATATATCAAAATGTATATTTTTCATCAGATTGAAATTTTTTCTCGGAAAAATATACAAATAGTAAATAGGCTCTCATCAAAATCTAAGAGAGTAAATAGGCTCTCATCAAAATCAAAGAGAGTAAATAGGCTCTCATCAAAATCAAAGAGAGTAATTAATAGGCTCTCACCAAAATCTTAGAGAGTAAATAGGCTCTCATCAAAATCTAAGAGAGTAAATAGGCTCTCATCAAAATCTAAGAAAGTAAATAGGCTCTCATCAAAATCTAAGAGAGTAAATATGCTCTCATCAAAATCTAAGAGAGTAAATAGGCTCTCATCAAAATCTAAGAGAGTAAATAGGCTCTCATCAAAATCTAAGAGAGTAAATAGTCTCTCATATATCCAAATCAAAGAGAGTAAATAGGCTCTTATTAAAATCAAAGAGAGTAAATAGGCTCTCATCAAAATCAAAGAGAGTAAATAGGCTCTTATTAAAATCAAAGAGAGTGTAAATAGGCTCTCATCCAAATCAAAGCGAGTAAATAGTCTCTCATCCAAACAAAGAGAGTAAATAGTCTCATCCAAACAAAGAGAATAAATAGGCTTTCATCCAAATTAGATAGAGTAAATAGGCTCTCGTCAAAATCAAAGAGAGTAAATAGGCTCTCATCCAAATCAAAAATAGTAAATAGTCTCTCATCCAAACAAAGAGAGTAAAAAGGCTCTCATCTATATATAAATTTGGCTTGTCTGTCTGTTTGTTTGTTTGTTTGTCTGTCTGTTTGTTTGTATCCAATAAACGTCAAAACGGCTGAACCGATCGGGCCCAAAATTTTTTGTGGGACATCTAGGGACCCCAGGGAAGGTTTATGAATGATAGAAATTTTAAATATTTTCTATCAAAATTCGATCTTCATTAAATTTTTTAAAATTTTGAAAATCCACGAAATTTTTTGTGAAAATCCGCGAATTATTTTTGTTTTGTTTTACGATGTACACAAAGAGAACATTTAGAAGAGGGGCGCGAAGTGCCCTCTAAGGCTAGAAAGAAGGGCGCGAAGCGCCATCAATTTCTAGTTAAAATAATAGAGAGAAAATATGTTCTCATCCTTATCAAATAGAGTAAGTAGGCTCTCATCCAGATGAATATTGAATAAAGATTTTTGTTTATATATTTAGTTTCTGCTAAGTAAGCTCTGTACAATTTCTTGTCAATAATTAGCCATGGAATAGGACCGGAGAGTCGTGTGCAGCAATATATAAAATCAATATACAGCTAAGATGCAATCTTTTTAGATTCCACAGGTAACACCAATAAACATGAAAAATCGTCCTTTTCCCACGCAGCATTAGGTCACAATCAGGATCTTTTTTTGTGGTTTTGTGATTCCAAAAGAGTGAATTGCTCAAAAACGACGTTTTTTACTTTATATAACATATCAAAGCTACAAGATTACCCAATTGGTCCCTTGAAGTTATCCTATTTGTCCCTTAAAATTACCCTATTTGTCCCTTGAAACTACCCTTTTTGTCCCTTGAAATTACCCTATTTGTCCCTCTCTGTGTACATCGTAAAACAAAACAAAAATAATTCGTGGATTTTCACAAAAAATTTCGTGGATTTTCAAAATTTTAAAAAATCTAAAGACGATCGAATTTTGATGGAGACAAATATTTGAAGTTTTGATCATTCATAAACCTTCCCTGGGGTCCCTGGATGTCCCACAAAAAATTTGGGCCCGATCGGTTCAGCCGTTTTGACGTTTATTGGATAGAAACAGACAGACAGACAAACAGACAAACAGACAAGCCAAATTTATATATAGACTAGAAATTCAAGGCGCTTCGCGCCCTTCTTTCTAGGTTTTTAGGGCGCTTCGCGCCCATCTTCTATTTTAATTGTGAACATGTTCTTTTTGTTTACATTTCAAAACAAAGATGAAAAAAATTTTGCGGATTTTTAAAAAAAAATTCGCGGATTTTCAAAAATTTAATTTTTTTTACAAAATTAAAAACCTTTAAAACGCAAATTTTTAAAATTCCAATCATTCATAAATCTTCCCTGGGGTCCCTAAATGTCCCACAAAAAATTTGGGCCCAATCGGTTCAGCCGTTTTGTCGTTTTTTGGATACAAACAGAGAAACAAACAAACAGACAGACAGACAAGCCAAATTTATATATAGATGTGGCGAAAGATAATCGATGACTATAGGTTGTAATATCCAAATGATTTGTTTGAAATTAAGTGATTCTTTAATCAACGGTATTGTTCGGCCCGGCGGTACCATTTGAAAATTTCATAAATTAACTAAATTTCCGTCTTTATACTTTTCTTTTAAATCCACAAATAGTATCAAATTTCAGAATAAAAACATTGAGAATGTTTTATTGAGTTTATGTGTCCCAGTAGATAGTTAATGGTATCTTCAAACAGACTTTCGACGTAATTTTGATCGGCACTCCGTTTAAAAAAAGGGGAATGCCCTCGATTTACAACGGTACATTTTGAACATTTTACAAAGAAAAGTTGTAAAGAGATCTTTATTTTTATACCTGAAAATTGAAAACTTAAAAACATTTTATTGTGGATTCTCTTTCGAATGTATGTAGCATGGAGACAGGGAAAGAAATTCGTCCATATTTGACACTATCAGAATCAGAAAAACAGCGCTATTTTTCTTATTTGCTTAGATAAAAGTTCGAATTTTACTGATGTGCAAGTAACTTTTAAAATGGGAGAATACTCTCGACTTACGTGGACAGACCCTTTGACACGATAAAATTTCAGTGACAAACCCTTTAAGTAAATATCAATCTTTTTTTAATGCATTTGATGATATGACTATTTATTTCTAAGATCTATTTTAAATCATTAATAGCACTTTTACATACCAAGGATAGTTGAAATACTTTAACAAATTGAACTATTATTAGATTTTTAGTTAAGACAAGGTCTGTTGACAGATAAAGGAGAAAAAACTTGACCCTTGGACGAAAATATTATATTATTTTTCAAAACAAGCTTTAACTTGGAAAGTTAGAAATGAGTATTTTTATATAGAAAACCGTGAACACTTTTGGACTTTGGTTTAAAATTTCTCATATTGTTACAGATAGACTTATTAACAGAGTAGCTTAACCAAGAAATGGACTGTCAGTGTCGGCGTCAAAGTGCAAGTAGCGTTCAGAAAAGAAATTATAATTCTTGGACCGTCCGCTAGGTGGTGGCAACCTAGTTTTTGGCGTTCCTTAGTCCTTATCCTTGATTAGATATTCTCTACATTCACAGCGTATATTTAGTAACCCAGAGAATTCCATAGCTTTCCCTCCCTTACATGTGTCAACACTCCTTGGTTAAATGTCTTTTTTTCTCATAGCATTAGTGTGCACTGTGCATGCCTAACTAGTGAACTGCATTGAAAACATAAAAATAACAAAATGAGTCATTTAAAAATTTCTAGGTGTAAATTTTTTGTTGTCATTAATCTTGTTTTCTGCTTCCGTTTGCTTTTACATCTTTCTTCTTATCTCCCTTCTTCGTGTAGGCCTGAATGTAAAAGTGAAGGAAGAGGAGGAAGAACATACCGCCGTGGAAGAGAATGACGTAACTGAAGATTTTTGGGAAATCACATTCGATAAACAGAGGGAAGGTAGCGTGAAGGAAGAAGGAAACGAACTGAACCAGTTGAAGGGTAGTCAGGTACCTGAAATAGAGATCAATTAGATTCTAATTAGAGATCAATTAAATTCTAAATATAGATCAATTAGGTTCTCAATATAGATCAATTAGGTTCTCAATATAGAGGTTCTCAATATAGACCAATTAGGTTCTCAATAAAGATCAATTAGATTCTCAATATAGATCAATTAGGTTCTCAATATAGACCAATTAGGTTCTCAATAAAGATCAATTAGCTTCTCAATATAGATCAATTAGGTTCTCAATATAAATAAATTAGGCTCTCAATTATAGATCAATTAGGTTCTCATTATAGACCAATTTGGTTCTCTATATAGACCAAATAGGTTCTTATTATAGATCAAAAAGGTTCTCAATATAGATCAATTAGGTTCTCAATATAGATCAATTAGGTTCTTAATATAGACGAATTAGATTCTCATTATAGATCAATTAGGTTCCCATTATAGATCAATTAGGTTCTCAGTATAGACCAATTTGGTTCTCGATAATAGACCAAATAGGTTCTTAATATAGACGAATTAGATTCTCATTATAGATCAATTAGGTTCCCATTATAGATCAATTAGGTTCTCAATATAGATCAATTAGGTTCTCAGTATAGATCAAATAGGTATTCAATATAGAAGGCTTAGGCTCTCAATTTAGATCAATTAGGTTCTCGAATATAGACCAATTTGGTTCTCGATAATAGACCAAATAGGTTCTTATTATAGATCAATTAGGTTCTTAATATAGATCAATTAGGTTCTCAATATAGACCAATTTGGTTCTCGATAATAGACCAAATAGGTTCTTATTATAGATCAAAAAGGTTCTCAATATAGATCAATTAGATTCTCAATATAGATCAATTAGGTTCTCAATATAGATCAATTAGGTACTCAATATAGAAGACTTAGGCTCTCAATATAGATCAATTAGGTTCTCAATTATAGATCAATTAGGTTCTCAATATAGATCAATTAGGTTCTCAATATAGACCAATTTGGTTCTCGATATAGACCAAATAGGTTCTTATTATAGATCAAAAAGGTTCTCAATATAGATCAATTAGGTTCTCAATATAGATCAATTAGGATCTCAATATAAATCAATTAGGTTCTTAATATAGATCAATTAGGTTCTCAATATAGACCAATTTGGTTCTCGATATAGACCAAATAGGTTCTTATTATAGATCAAAGAGGTTCTCAATATAGATCAATTAGGTTCTCAATATAGATCAATTAGGTTCTCAATATAGATCAATTAGGTTCTCAATATAGATCAATTAGCTTCTTAATATAAACCAATTAGGTTCTCAACAAAGATAAAAAGTGCTGAACAATTAGAATTTGTGTCTAGTATTCAGTGTTCAGTTTCTTTATATTTGAAGAACCATAAATCAATTTTATTTGAACTCAAGTCGAGTGAATTCTTGAAAAATTTATGAGAGGTAATAAACTTTATTCGTGTGTTTGACCCTATATAAAACCAGGATATGAGCCGGACAATAAAATTTTATGATTCCAAAATGAAAATTTTCTTTCATCCAGCCCACAGTATTAAATATGGAGGAAGAGCTACATCAGAGTATAAGATAAAAAATCAATACAGTCAGAGGCTTGTATGATACCTAAATATTGCAAAATAATGTCAGGGACACATGTATTAATATATATATGTATTATACCCACCAAATATTCCCTGAGTATATTTGCAACAACAACAAAATTAAGTGATGCAAAAAAACAGTTTTATAACTCGCTTTGTATAATTTTTGACATTTTTTGTCGTCGTTATTTAAAAATAAAAAAAAAATTCTGAAAACGTATCCACCCCAAAGTACGATTTTTAACGTCGACTTTGCGCTCAAACTCAGGATTTACAGATCTTTAAAAAATTGATATGTCTCAAATGTATCCTAAAGAATTTGTTCGGAAATATTAATATCAACTTTCAAGAAGTTGCAGAAAATAAATATTTACTTTTGAATTCGCTGAAAACCGGTTTAGGCTCAGGATTTGTTGGTTATTTTATAGGTTTAATAAAAAATGATAATAAAGGATTATAAATTATATGCAAATTTAAAACATTTTGTTGGCTATGATAGTTTTTAATGTAAGATTTATTAGTAATTTTTCGTGAAGGTAAAATAACAATTATAATTTAAGAATTACAGTTAAAAAAGTACAAAGTTAATTTTTAACGACTTTGAACTTTAAACTAATGAGAAAAACTACTTTATTATATGAATTTTAATCAAATTAAAAACATAACTTTTATGAAAAGAATAAAAATGCTAATTTTGCAAAACAAAAACAAAAAAGGGGTAAATATTTTTCAAATAATCTGCCAAATTTTTTTTCTGAATTAAGTATGTAAACACGGTTTTATAGTCTACTCGGTTGGGCTATTTTTGGTATTTGGGATTATACCAAGGTTGGGATTTTACCATCCGTGAATTCTACCCAATCCGTTTTAAGCTACTTTAATGGGATAGGATTGAACAATTAGATTGCTTTCGTTACTCTATCGTCTAAAATTTAGCCTTCGCTAAGTTATTTTTAAAGATTGTTTTTGAATATCATTCATATTTTTCTTATCTTATCTTTAGTCTTGCCAACTTGGAAAAACAAAGTTTAATTACAAACAAATAATGATAAAAAGTAGAATAAGTACACAATCTTTAAAAACGCAAACTTAACATGATTAAATGATCTTCTGCTTATTACAACAAAGTACTTCATTTTTGTTCGACACATTTTTAGTCATATTTTGAACTTTGATAAAAATTCAGTCAGAAATAGCATGAAAAGATTATATATGTACTCCAATAAAAAAGTTTCAATTAGCAAATACGAAAAAGGTGCATTTAAAGGATGACAATGAACCATATTTTTTATAACTTTATAACTTTAAAACTTTATGGAAAAATCATGATATATTGGTGATTTTTAGATTTAGGATTTTTAGATTTAAGATCTAAAGCAACAACATGAACAGATTGAAAATTACCTTTTCCACCAGAGATACTTTTGTACTTTAGGTCCGAATGCTGAGAGAAAATAGTAGAAGTACATGATTACATGTACACCCATGTTTAGAAATCCACAGAATGTTGTGTGTCCGCCACCAACATATCTTAATATTATGTAACATGAAAAACTTTGCAGAACTCTAAAACGAAAAATGAAAACTAAATATTTTTGAAGAAAAGCTTTAAAAAATGTACATGAATAGAAAGCATTGTAAGGAATTAAGTCTTTGCCACAAACTCAAATCTTCTAATCCATCTATTTTTGCAACCTGATAATGTAAACCTTTGATATTTCAAACTTAGATTATCTGTTCTAACAGAATTCATAGTTTTAAATATCTAAGGTCCACGACATTAGGTTGCAAAGATCTATAAAACTTGCAGGGCATGTTTTTGATCATAAGCTTTTTAATCTTATTAGAAATCCTAGTAATTAAAAAAAAATGTCATACATAATCTAAAAGTTTTTTTGTAAAAAAAACTTTGGCAAAAAATCATGTTGGTGCTTAGTGATCAATCCCTTTAAAACTTGTAAACTCCTACTTGATCCCCCACCAGGCGGTGAAGGGCATGATACCATGATGAACGACATGAAGCATGGAGAGATGGGAGAACTTCTTCCTCAACACGAAGAAGATGGAGTCCAGGTAATCGATGTACTTGCTGAAGAAATACCACCAGGTCATATCCAGGGCTGCATACCCATCCTGGAAAATGAAAATGGTACAGTGGTCGGCGATTATATCAATACAATGAAGACGACTTCTTATTGTTTACATACTATGTGTTTCTGCTGTTTGAAACTTATGTGAAAATCAAAATTAAAACAGAAAGTCGTCTTTATTGAATTGTTGAATTAGGTGCATGCCCGTTTTACAACGGTGCCCTATGGAAAAATTATAAAGATTTTCTTGTTTTTCCAGCTGATTTAACACATTTTAGATAGAAAACCACGATATCTCCACAGTGTTGCTCAGATAACGGCATGCCTGTTAATTGAGGGATTACTTAACCCTATCACGAATGGGGGGTGGGGGAAACCCCCTCCCCTTTGTTTTTTTTAATATTTAATATAAAAACGGCTTATATTAAAGCGCTAAACGGTTAAAACTACGTTAGTAGTCTGTTTTTCATGCAGTTATGAAGGTTATGGATTACTTGCACCAAACACAAATTTTCTGATCCCTATATCTCTGCTAATCTTTGATCTTTGAATTGTTATCAGAAGTCACAACTTTTGTATTGTTAACCTAGGGATCAAGCATTGATCTCCATCTTATATAGTGTAATATTTAAAGCATGATATTATATGTAGAATATGATCATATACTGAAGATGAATCATTCAACCCTTTCTCCGGCTCTGAGTAGAAAACCTAAGGATTGGAGAGTGCACAGCCAACCTTTCTAGAATACAGATGCAGAGTTTAATCTCCCGTTTATAAAGGAAGGCTGGATGGCTTGCACAACATACAGATAACAGACAGCTAACAGATGAATCTACAACATGCCTACTAGGGAACACAGAAGACAACCATCATCTTACCCCATCATTATGCATGAGATTCATCTCCTATAGTTTTGGGAACTCGTACCGGCCAGTCCCTACCCACCGATTGTAACAGTTCAAGCTAGTCCAATCAGGAACCCGGAGACATCAGACGAAACTCTATATTCTCGAGCTGGTCCTTTATACAGGGGCACTGGAGATATAGAGCAACCAACAGATCCAGGACAAACAAGTCCAACTACAGTTCGGCTAGCTCAACTACAAGTTAGGGAAAATCCTGGAGCAGCTAGGTTAACTGGAGAAGGATTCTATGAACTAACAGAAGATATGGAAGAAGATATGCTGAAGGAAGTCTTCAAGTTCAGAGATCCTGAATTAGTACAGCTAAATGAGATTGATGAAGCGGAGGAAGCTGTTCAGGGACACCCTGGTCGGGAGCAGCTAAATGAGAGCTTTATATTTAGTGATCCAGAGCAGCTAAATGATGAATTCGGATTCCAGGGAGCTGCTCAGACTGACACGGAACTGGAACAGTTCATCGAATCGAATAGTTCCCTGAAAAAGAGGAGTTGAAGATTGCATATTGGAAGTATATCAATACTGGACATAGGATTACAACAATGGTTTGTCATGGTTCCGCTGGATTTCTGAAAACCACAGGCTTGATTGCCGGAAAACTTAAAAGAGCTAAATATACTCAAGAGCTAACCCACTGCAACAAGTAGAAATGTGGGCCTCTACAAACACATAGGAAACTAATTCAACAAGAATAAACATAAACAGAAAAGCTGATAAATCACATTCATTCATACTCTGAGAGATATATCTAAACATATATAGAGAGAGATTTAATGGGATTTATAATATGAAGTACAGGGACCAAGAGAAAGCCATTTGTACACGCCCTTTCTCTGAGGGAGCAAATAATTGATCTCGTAAACCCGAAGATTGATGTCTGTAATCGATAGACTAGCAATAATCATTACAATAGCCCTTTGGATTGATCTAATTCATCGACTTCGATATTCCGAAGTGTAGTGGTCATACCATGTAGGGATAACTTTTAAAACGGGATCAAGCATTTATCCTCAAATTTTAAAGTGCCCACATTGGATATCGAAATCAAGATTTGAGATTAACAATACTCTACATAAAAAATAAAAGAGATTAGAGAATAGAGTTTTCTACGATCCACAAGTTCATTTACTATTGAAAGTAAGGTATAAAATACTGACTAGCTGAAACAATCTTTGTGGCCATGTCAGGTTCCACACGAAATTCGGTCAAACCTTTCCGTCAAAAAATGTTAATATGAGAGATTGAAGAAAAGATATTATTTCTATTTTTATCCTGGCATTTCGTTGTTAAGTTGTATTAAAATATAAAACATTTAGATGAAGATAATTATTTCTTGGATTTTTATAAGTTTATTTAAAGGGACTGTAGACGTAATTTAACATGCATAATTTGCAAATGCACCCTTTAAGCCTCTATCTGAGTAACAGTAAGGAAGATATCGTCATTTTTCTTTTTTTGAAAATTGTTTCCATCATTGTCTCTGTAGCATAAATCGAACATAAATTAGAGGTCATTCGAAATTTTGTGTACAGTCCTTTACAAATAAAAACTTACCTCTGATTCACTATAATCCACTGGCTGACACAGCCAATTGTACTTGCCTAAGAAAACTTTCCTTTTAAAACTCTGACGCTGCTAAAATAATTGCAATTTTTGAGAAATAACTTATACTTAACTTTAAAATCAAACATTAAGAATGAATCGTCATCATTCATGACGATCTTTCTACAGTTTAAATACAGATTTGATTTTGTTAGGCTTTTAGATTTTAATCGAATTTTGTTTATCCATATAAATATACTTTTAGAACATCTTAACACTAGTTTTAACAAGACTTTTTAGTATTTTAGTGACCTTCCCATCCTACATTTTGTGTGCGAATACATTTAAAAAAACAACTTACAAATATTAAAACCCCTTGGTCATTCCAAAAGATTAATTTTGTCAAAATAAAAAAAATGAGTACCTATGCTCTTAAAAAATCTATTTTCAAATGAGGGTCCAATTTTTTTACATTAAATTTGATTTTAGTTTAAATGCGCTTTTTTTAAATATTCAATAAAAAATCAAATTCTTTTTAATTCACAAAAGAAAAATCAGGAAAATAAATTAAAATTCTATTTTAGATTTTATACCGGAAACTTGTCTTTTTACTGTACAAAAACTACGGAAAGAAAGTTTTCCCTGTTACCCAGAATTTGCAAGCCTTAGAAAATATCCAGGCTGAGAGAAGGGTTTGACAGAAGTTGTAAATAATCATGATATTCTGAATATCATACGGAGGTCTGTCTTTCATAAACCTAAATATAACTTGTATAAAAAAGTTAAAAAGTAAAAAATTTAATTTTAAAAATCTTTATCTTTGTTTGTATCTATTCATGGGCAGCTGTAGTAAATTTGAATTTCCGAGCCGGGTCAACCTTTCCGGTCCCGGTTTGTACTGTACCTAGCTCTGTGGACAGGACTAGCCGGTGCAACAAGGTTGACGCGGTCAGACTTTATGCTTCATATAGGTTGAATTTACTTTTACTAAAGGGGCAGATTTGCTTGTATTGTACCTTTATTGTGTACAGAATAAACTTTAATAATAAAAATAAACAATACACTGTAAACAAGCAACAAGTTAAACTAAAGTAAATTGTACTCAAGATTAGACTGTATGTTTTTAATCAAAACTTGGCTTTTGAGAAGAATAATAATGTTTTGAATTTATATTTTGTTTAATTGGATGAATTAGTTGTTCAATTTTTATTTATATTAACAATGAAAAAGTTAAACCTTAATTCTTGAAAAAAATATTAATTCATCAACTTTTTCCTGTTTTTTCAGAAGCTTTACAACGAGTAGGCAACATTCTTTAAATATATTTTTTTAAATCTTGAACTCAAGTTTTATTTTACATTAACATAATCGAATATAGCTTTTGTATTACAACAAAAAAGAATGATATTAATTTTAATTGATATTGTGATTTTTTCTTTTTTCAAATAGATAATTCGTTGTTTCTATTTCATTTTCAACATAATTCTTTGTTTTCATTCTTTTTCCACATAATTTATTGTTTCCATTATTTTTCCACATATCATTTTTTCCATTTTTTTCACATAATTCATTGTTTCCATTATTTTTCCACATAATTCATTGTTTCCACTATTTTTCCACATAATTCCTTGTTTCTATTATTTTTCCACATAATTCATTGTTTCTATTATTTTACCACACAATTTATTGCTTTCATTTCTGTTTTCCTCATTATTCATTGTTTTCATTTCATTTTTCACATAGTTTATTGTTTTTATTGGTGTACTGCATGATGTATCTATTAAAACGCTACCCTATTTTATATTATTTATATTTCATTACTTTTATTTCTTTTCCACAGAATTCATTGTTTTGATTTCCTTTTTCACATTTAGTTCATTGTTTTCATTATTTTACCAAATAATTAATTGTTTCATTTTTTTAACATAATTTATATTTTTGTTAAACTGCTAGGTGATGGTGCCAACTAATTATGAGATAATAAAACAAATAATCTTATTGATTATTTAATTTATAACTTATAATACTAATTAATATGAGGCAAACTATTGAATGGGATGGCGATTAACAACCGCCGATTTAACGATTTAAGTTAAAATTTGAGAAATGCTTTAGAAAAAAAACTTGTGACTGTATCTTGCGACTTAAATTATAACGCTTGGGAGCGAGGGGGGGGGGGGGGGGGGTCGGGTCCAACGAATGGGTTATGAACAAATTAATGTGAAAAAAGTTTCCTCCCATCTTCTGCAGAAAAACAACAATTTAAATTTTTTTTTTAAAGCTTTTAAGGGTACCGTTGTGAATTGGACATACCACTCTATAAGTGGAGGATCACTTAGAATTAAGTGTCCAAAGATAATTTCTAATTAAAAATATGTTTTTGTGAATGCGATGGCTATCAATTGTGAACAGACTGTTTTTTGTTTATCTTGAATTGTAATTAATCTATATGTATATATAAATATATAAAGTTGTAATCTCTTGTCTGGGTGTCTGTTTGTTTGTATATCCGGTCATAACTCATGAACCCCTTGTCCGGTTTCCTTAAAATTTTGATTGGGAACTTTGGTGTTCTTCGCTTGGTTTAGAGATTTTAAAGTGAGTGGGTCCATTTTTATATGGAAAATAGCTAAAATCGTAATTTACGACCAAACGCGGGTAAACGGCGAGAGTAACTATGAGTACCCTGGGCAACCCTGTGTTCTCAAGCTAGTATATTGATAAAAAAATTACATTTTTTAATAAATATTTCATAATTTTTATTTTTTTGATAAAAACAAACCTTGGCCCGGCAATTTTGATCACATAGTAATACAGGCAGCAGGCAGCAACAGTGGGCCAAACTGAGGACATTAAAAACCAATCATCCACCCTAAAATATAACAGTGAGCCAAACTGAGGACATTAAAAGCTAATAAACCACACTGGAATGGCCAAACTGAGGACATTAAAAACCAATCATCCACTCTGAAATATAACAGTGGGCCTAACTGAGCACATATAAAAAAACAATTATCCATCATGAAATAAAACAGTGGGGTAAACAGAGCAGATAACAAAAACAATCATCCACCATGAAATTTAGCAGTGGATCAAACTGCGATCCAATAGATAATTAGTTTTTAGATAATAACAAAATTATCTCCATCCTCGATGATTAGGTTTGCAAGGAATTGTTGATAGAGCTCCTTCAAAGAAAATAAAGAACAAAATTTAGTTCAAAATCCGATTTAAGATTGAACTATAAAACATGGCTGAAAATGATCTGAGCAGTGCATGATCATTCGCCACAAATCCTAATTTTCTTACACTTATATCTTCTCAACCTGATGGTGTCAAACTTTAATATATAAAGTAGAATTCATAGTTATAACGACGCCAGGTTGCAAAGATATAAGAATTAAGAATTTGTGGCTAGTCTTCAGTTTCGTTGAGCACTTTTAAATATATATATATATTATTTTTACCTTGGATCTCGGAGTTCAATAAACAAATAGTCATAATTAGCCTTCCAGGTTTCTAATAGGGAAGTGTTCGACATTATTCTCCTGAAAAAAAAATTTCCATCAAAATTAGATTTTTTAGCCCAGAGTTATCCAGCAAAAGTTTTTTAGCGTAAAAATATAATTGATAATTAAATTTGTTGTATTTTGTATAAGTATGGCAAAATATACTAATGAAGAATGCTTAAAACAGTTTTAAATATCCAAAGCTTACTTTAAAATACTAAACACTAAACACTAAAACGTTAAAATGTTTGTAAATCATCATTGTTGAAAGTGCCACTATCGTATATATCTCCTCTTTTGGTTCCCTTTCTTCACTTAATAAATAACGGATTCACAACAGTATCTTTTAACCGTAGTCTGATAAAGTATGCATGATATGACCTTCTTTTCTGCCGGAAAATTGATTCCTTTCAAATGTCGTTTGTTAAAATAGTGAGTTGCGGATTTATGCTAAAGAGACAATGAAGGAAAGCGTAAGAATTCAACGCGTTTCAAGATAGAAAAATGACGTAACTTCCTCATTGTTAAACAGATGAAGGTTTATACGGCACAGTTATGAATCGGGTATGCCACTAATTGAATGAAGGGTAACTACGTCTACAGTATATCTCTGCATCAAAACGCCGGGTTTGAGAAAGTCTACACACGTCTCTTCTCTAGGTCTAACCTAAGACTGCCTAGTGCCTACTCTAGTCTACTGAATACTCCTAAAGAGAACCCTGTTCAGCTGCTATAGTAGGAGGAGATAAGACCAGAGTACAACAAACATGAAAACTCGACTTTCATTTTTTCATCAGCACTCCTCAACTTAATCTAATGAATGATGAACATCATTCATTAGATTAAACTGAGAATTAAACTCCATGAATTCCAAATCCATGATTTAAACCACGTGACACAGAATATAGAAGAGTTTCAACCGTCTTACAGAAAAAAAAATACCAATAAAAAAGACAATAATTGTGAAGAAAACTACTTTTTTCCTGTTTTCTACATCGATATACATCCAAAATTTTCTAATTAAAAACTTAAAAATAAGAAAAAAACCCATAAAACACCATAATCCTTTTATTTAAAAAAAAAACAGGGCTAAAAACACTCCAAAGTAATGAAAACACGAGAGTTTGCAACCCTGAAAGCCAGGTGAGGAACTGGAATTGTTTACGTCATATGTGTTTGTGTCTCTCTCATTTACTTGGATGCATATACTGCATAACCCTGCATTAACTATGCCTTACCTCTTGCAATGAAACTCTTTCACTGAAAATCAGTTTATATACTTTCCTAAAAATCTATTTTTCATATTTCTTATATCTTTGCAACCTGCTGGTCCTTGTCCTTGCCTGTATCCTTGTTATTGTCTCTATCCCTGTCCTTGTCCTTACCCCTGTCCTTATCTCTTTCCCTGTCCTCGTTTCTATCCCTGTCCTTAAGTCCCTATTCCTGTACTTGTCTCAATCCCTGTCCTTGTCTCAATCCCTCTCCTTGTCCTTACCCCTTTCTTTGTCTCTATCCATGTCCTTGTCCCTACCCCTGTCCTTGTTTAAATCCCTGTCCTTGTTTATATCCCTGTCCTTGTTTATGTCCCTGTCCTTGTTCCTATACCTGTCCTTGTCCCTATACCTGTCCTTGTCCCTATACCTGTCCTTGTCTCTATCCCTGTCCTTGTTTATATCCTTGTCCTTGTCTGTATCCCTATCCTTGTCCCTATATCTGTCCTTGTCCCAATCCCTGTCCTTGTACCTATCCCTGTCCTTGTACCTATCCCTGTCCTTGTACCTATCCCTGTCCTTGTACCTATCCCTGTCCTTGTCCCTATACCTGTCCTTGTCCCTATACCTGTCCTTGTCCCTATCCCTGTCCATGTCTCAATCCCTATCCCTGTCCGTGTCTCTACCCCTGTCCATATTGTCTTGAATCTGAATGTAATAAGTTTAAAACATTTAAATATTTTTTTCATATAGAATTTGCTGAGTAGTTCAAACTTAACACTTGAAAATAAATTCTATTTCAATTTTGATCCATCAGCTGGCAAAGACAATTCTCTGACTTTCTGTTGAAAATTCATATTTGCAGGGCACAGTTATATCCAGACAGTTATGAAAATCATGCATTATAATTATAACCGGGTCGACATTGAGGGTTTTGAATGCCTTGGACTGTAAGCGTAATTTCAAGTGACCCTCCATGTAAAAATGACAATGCCCAGTTTACAAGAGCACCCTTAAAAGCTTTGTGTGATCAAGAATGAATTAGATATTCATGTTTTTGTTTATTTAACTGTTTATTATCATTTGCGGTTTCTCTGCGAATGTAACCTGCGCATTTCTTACTTATAAGAAGCATTGGAGAAACTCACAGAAATAAGCACTTTGCAAGTCAGAAAAAAGCCGTTCTCTTCCACATTTTAATTCAGATTAAGGTTTTAAGGGTACCGTTGTAAATCGGGCATTGCCATCTTCGCATTGAGGTCACTTGAAATTACGCTTCCAGTCCCTTAGACGCCTCCTATATTTTATATATTGCCGCCCGGTAATGAAGAAATTATGCTATTAAATCACTTAAACATAAACAAATGTTAACTGCTGATTTGTTTAAAAACAATTGTCTCTTTGGTGCTGGGTCAATTATCCTATCTCGTGTGTTCGAAATATTTTACAAATAGTTTACTTATGGGTTACTGTCCTTTTTGAGATGTGTTAAGCTGTTCGTCATATCAATTTAATCCAAGTTATTCCAAAAATGATAATAGAAAGAAAACGTTTTTAAAAGTTCAGAAGTATTTTTTGAACTTTAGGAACACATTTTTAATATTTATCTTCATTATAACCTTCAAAAATTGCAATTTAAGATTTACCGTAGAAAATATTCTTTATAGTCTTAATCTTTGCTTATTTGATATAACGTACGAAATTGTCTTTATGCACATTGTTATCTAAAACGTATCCACCGACTAAAAAGTTGTGTTTAATGAGCCAAATTGTGACCGAAAATTGCAGCTTTTTGAAGCAAAGACAACTGTTGAATCAGAGTTGGGAACTTTTGAATGGTGGATATCGGGATTAATGCTTGATCCGCTCTTTTTCTTAATCTCACGATTAAATAATGCTTGTTCTCCTTTTATTATTAATCTCAAGATTAATTAATCAATTGGGATAAAGGATATCACAATCTTAAGTTTTCACCTCAAGTTGATTGCGGGTTTCGATGTAATATCCTAACCACAGAAAAGTAGATTAACGGAACTGTGTTTTTCTATTTCTATTTCTCCAATTTTCAAATCCCTATATCTTTGCAATCCTTAGATATTTTAAATTTAGACTGATTGATCTAAGAGGGAGAATTCATAGTTTAAAATATCCAAGGTCTGGGACATCGGGTTGCAAAGATGAAGGGATATCAAAATTAGAGTTTGTGGTAAAATCTGATTTTCATTATTTCCAAATATATTTCTGTCTGGAGGCTGGTCCTATTTAGTTCTTATGATTTTAAAGAGACTGAAGACGATATTTCAAGTGCATGACCCCAAATTGAAAAAATAATTCAATTTTGGTGTGCCGTAAAACTTTGAAAAAAGACGACAACAAAATATAATTATCATTATTCATTAAGATTTCATAAATTTAAAAAACATTATTTAAATTGAGTTTAAGTTACAAATAACCAAGATATAGGAAAAGTAGTAATATTTTAATCACATTTAACTCCTAGAAGAAGATGATTAATTTGGTGTAATAACCAATTTTTACATCTGTGTGAATTGTACACAACTTGCCTTCAAGTGGTATCAGCACTTCAAATGAACCTGAGTTTCAAGGGCTAACCTTACAACCTTACAATTAACATATGTTTTAATACACCAGAGGTCGGACTTTTTGAGTGGAGTATCGTTAATATTAAACACTTGATTTAAATTTGAGGATAAATGCTCAATTAGAGGGTTATTCATTTTGGATACCCACAATATCCAAATAGAATTTAATCAATCCATAGGTCTGCATAAGTTGGAGATTAATGCTTGATCCTTAGATTCATAACATAAAAGTTGGAGATTAATTCTTGATTCTTAGATTCATAACATAAGTTCTCATTTTAAGCAAAAGTATGATTATTAGAGATAAAAAGTATAAGTGAGTACGTGAAAAAGTAATGTCTTATCTGTTTAAAACATGGTCCTGGCTTAGATGGGGGTCATAAAATTTGGCCCTAACACTTGAATAATGCTTCATCATTTATCCATGGTATGCATTGTGCTTCATGCCAAACCTTTTGTTACTCTTAATCTCCCCCCCCTTCCCCCCCCCATCCCATCATTAGTTTTGTATAAAATTTTCCGATAATAACCAACGAGGTTTTAATCCTTCCCCCTCCCCCCATCATTAGTTTTATCCAAACTATACAAAATTTTACAATAAAAACCAAGGATGGGGGGGGGGATTGTAAGATGAAGGTCGTCTTTGAACTTACAAGATGTGGACTCCCTGTTTTCTACTTTATTTCATTTTAAAACTTTTCAAAGAAAAAAAGCTAAATAAAAAAATTTAGCAACAAAAACAATATGTCGTATTTAATCAATGTATTTCATTTTATCTAACGAAGTAAAGGTAAAAATGAGTAAAGTTAATTGAATTGTTTGATCAAATTTGTTATTTTTTCTTATCATGAAGGTTACTTTAGCTTTTTGACCTGTGGTAAACATTTGTCACTTTTGTACAAATAGTTAGAAAAATAGGTAGATAGATAGATAGATAGATAGGTAAAGATAGATAGATAAATAGATAGATAGATAGATAGAAAGAGTTCCAAGTATAGCCAAATGTTCATTCCTTAATCATAATAAATGCTTCTTTTATTTCAATTTTAACCATCTGTTCTCATTCTGGGAAATAATGGGGTTTATACTGTTTAGATGTTAAATGATATAATTATTGATAATCTTCTCACTTCTCTTGTTTATTTAAAGATTAAAGTTTACTAAATTTAGCGTGAATGGATTTAAACGCATTAAGTGCAGATTGAAATGTTAATAAAGATAAGAT